CGTTATTGAGGACGTTATTGAGGACGTTATTGAGGACGTTATTGAGATCCCGGAAAAAAAAAAAACAATTATATTCTACTCCGTCTTCTCTCTTCGTTGACCTTTGCTCCGCTTAAAGGGCAAGGATGCGATTCGTCGCGCATTGAATGATCCTTTTTTTTTTGTTTGTCTGAAAGAAAAAATATCCTCGACTTGCATCTTTCAATGCGAAAGTTCAAACCGTTTCTAATGGGAATCCGATCGGCATAGCCCAGGATCAAAAGGATCGTAATCAGTTGATTGTGGGATTCTACGGGATTAGCGCAAACTTGCAACGAGTCCTTCATCATTCCCTGGAGGAAATTCCGCTCTCACACTCAGACGGTAATTGAATGAGATTCCGATCTTTTCTTCGCTTTTTTTCCCTTACGAAAATGATTTATAGCATTCCTATATGTATTCCTTTAGGAATTTAAGGGAATCCTATAGGCCCTATAGGGTTCCCTATAGGGAAATTATTCAGGAATTTTTTTTTATTGATCATGGGATTTCTGTTTCCAAGAAAGACCTTGGAAAGGCTAATGGTTTGGTAATCTTTCCTTCCGGTTCGATACCTCCGATGCTCCATTGATACCAGCCGACATGCCATCATGATCGAAGGTTTCGACTCTTTTGCATGTTAACGAGAAACCTCGGGATCTTTTAATCCGTTTTTGCCACTTCGAAAATAAATTAACGAATCAATCACCAACCTGGACAGCTCCTCTCAAACGTGCGTCTTTGTCTGTGGCAGCGCAGTTGTTGTTTCTTGTACATATGAGTTCCGGAATTTCTAAAACAGTTAATGATGTCAGAAATGTACGGACACTAATTTAAAGCTTGTTCACAGAAAATGCATTAAAAATATATGCAGGGGTGAATTGCAGTGTATCGTTGAAAACAGTGTGGGATTTTTTTTTTTACCATCCCGTAGGCGTAAATCATGAAGAAAAAAAGGTAATGACTATCAGGCGGCTTTATGAAGCATCTCGGAGAGGCAGAAAATCGAATAAGCGCATACCATTTTTTCCAAGAGGTATCTAGCTCTATCAGTACCCTCTTATCGACGACTGCCGAAGGAAACAGGCAACAGCACGGGCGCCAGATAAAACACGAGCTGTTTTCCTCGTATCAGGTGGATCATTTTCAGCTCTAACGTTGTAAACTTGTGTCCGCCATGGTCGAGAGTGGGAAAAGGTATCTTAAGACGGCATCGGATCTTGAACTGGGATGCAAGAAGGTCTCCGCGAAGATAAACGCATCCCTTCCCTTCCTCTGTGACGTCACGCTGAAAGTGGGGAAGCTTACCTTCAGCGGCAGCCGCCTCCTCTTGGCCGCCTGGTCTCCATTCCTGGAGAAACTCTTCCAAGAATCCTCAGAGAAGGAAATCGCGCTCAATGGCGTCTCCAAGGTGGGTTTCCAGGGTGTGTGGCAATTCATCCACGATCCGGAATTTTTCATGGAAGGGGAGAAGGGAACCTTGGCTATCCTCAGAGATGCTCACACTCTCGGCATTCAACACTTGTGCACTAGCGTCTCCAGGGAACTCTTGGAAACACTGAACATCCAGAATGCTTGCCTAATTCTTGCCACTGCTGAGAAAGTGAAGGAAACGGAGTTGAAGGAAGGGGCCCTGGCATTCATCTGTCGACGCTTTCCTCAAATCGTGGATTCCTCAGGGTTCCTTCAATTGTCCCTGGAGACACTGAAGGGGATTCTGGGGCGAGATGACCTGGAGGTGTCTTCCGAGGAGAAAGTGTTCGAGGCTGCCAAGAAATGGTTAGAACACGACAAGAACCGGAAGAAACACTTGCCGGAATTGCTGGATCGTATAAGACTTCCGCTTCTTGATCTCGACTATCTCAAGCGAAATGTCCTCCTGGAGCCATCCATCCGCGAGGATCCCGGATGCTCTCAAATCGTCGATGAAGCTAAGAACTGCTTCATCCCGGAGTTACGCGACATGGTTCCAGTTGAGAAAACCAGACCGCGCGGATCTGAAGTGTGCCATCGGGCAGTTTCTTCAAACGCGACAGTTGAAGTTACTGGCACCGTAGGAAGTGAAGTCTCGAATGGTGACAAGGAAGAAACCGAGGAAAAAAAGGGCAAAAGCGAGACTGTGGTTTTGCAAGATCCGGAATTCGGTGAAAAATCTCGCAAGGCCGACAATACCGCGAGACACGAAGCGGATCTTCTCGTCGCCTCCGGAAACAAGGAAAACCACGAAGCCGCGGAAGTCAGAGCGTCAAATCGTGCCAAGGGGGCAGCTCCAGAGCAGCAGAGGGCAAAAAATTGCAGTTGTGTCCGCTCGCTGCAGCCGCCTTACATGCCTCCTTATCTTCACCTAGCCACCCCTTACTACCCCCTGCCTCCAACGTCTCCCCAACAGCCGCCTCGGTTCTGGAACCACCCATGGCAATCCCCCTTCGGCCCCTCCCAAACTTTCTACCATTGAACGCCGCATCCGAGGTGCGGAGAGGCGAATTACCGAAAAAAAAGAAGATTGCGTATTTTGACGAAACTTTGTCTTAGACCCCCCCGAAGTCTCACAATAATTTAAATAAAGTTGGCTGCTCAGAAAAACAGTGAAAATTATTTATATATAATTTCTTTTTTTTTCTTTGCACTATGCAAAATTCTCGGAGCTTGAACGAAATTTTCGGGAAGGCACCTCCACAAGTGGGATGTGAAATGGAAATTTCAGGGGGTCATGGATGTCGAAAAACCGTCGGCGGTCGAAAAATTCGACCGCCGACCGACGTTCCTCAAGCGTTTCTTTCGCCTTTCTCGAAACGTTCAGAGTTGAATTTTAAATTCGCACACGCACTCCTATGCGTCCCGGGTCCCGCGAAAAACTTTCGCCGTTTCGTTTTCTCGCGAGTTCGAAGCTGAAGATTAGAGCGAACGACCGCAAACGATCGCGAACGATCGCAAACGATCGCGAACGATCGCAAACGATCGCGAACGATCGCAAACGATCGCGAACGATCGCAAACGATCGCGAACGATCGCGAACGATCTGAAGAAATCTTCTACTCGACCTAAGTCGCGCGTGAGGTCAAAAGGTACAGTTAAAAAACCGATATAAATGAGCAATTGCCCGTCATCTGGCTGGTACACGAACAAGCCATGTTTCCACACCTGCCGCCAGATGTCGCTTAAATCGCCTCTGCAAAGAAGGGAAAGAAGAACTTGACTTTCTTTGCACCACCCTGTATGTTGGGGTTCTCGCTTCGACGACTTGACTTCTTCGGGCACAAAGAAATCGCTTGGCCCTGATGAGTTCCAGCCTTCACGTCGTCGGTGGCGCCACGCGCGTCGAGAGAGCGAGGCACGAGAGGCTGGACCTGAGAAGAGGTCGCTGGGATGTCCTCAACGATGCCCTGGTTCCCAGCGGTCCGGGGGTGGAGGTGGGGCGGGGGGGGTGGAGGTGGGGCGGGGGGGGGTTGGGGGGTGGGGGAGGTTGAGATGTTTGTCTGAGGAGAGAGGGAATCGGTGGGTGAACATCCCCGGCCTGACAGAAGCGAGGCGGCACCACGGACGGGGAGCCTCCTGCATTCAAGAATTCGGAGACTGCTTAAATTGGAAGGAGGTGAAGGAATTTCCTCGCCTCCAACCCTCCGAAATGAGCTAATCGGCTGCAAGAGAAGATACAGTTGGAGCCGGAACCCTGAAATCTTCTGTTTGCATTGGACCGAACCCCACCCGTCGAACGCGGCCCGATTAGATACGAATCCTGCGACCTCCCATCGCTCAAATCTCTGATGGCTGGCGTTCGCTTTCGAGTGCGTGCCGACGCCGAACGAATAACGGCTGGCCGGATTGAAGCTTTCGATGGGAGCAGTTCGTTCTCGTATGGGGAAAGGATTCCCATTCTTTGAGCATTGAATTCGAGTTCCCGATGATCCTTGAACCGTCGGGAAAAATATTGAATTTACATCGATGGAGGGAAAATAAATGGCAGGACTCGAAAGACTCCCACGCCGCCGACCGATGCCATTCAATGGGCGTGGATTCCTTTTTTTTTTACGGCTTAGGAGACTTCTCTGGGGGACAAAGAACGTTTCTCTCGTCGAAGAGTGAAAAGAGCAGGTTTTGCGAGTGCTCCCTGTTGCTCCCGTTTTACATTCATTCATTCTCCGTGTGCATGTGGATCCCGGTCGTTAGGGAGACAACAGGTTTTGCGGGCCTTTTCCGTCTGTGTCGCTGGAGACGCTATTTCCAAGAACGATTTGCAACTGCAAAGATTCTTCGAAAAGAAGCGAATAGAACCAAAAAAGCGACAAGTTCTCGGACAAGTACATGCCCCACCTTCCCCCCCACCTTCCCCCCCACCTTCCCCCCCACCTTCCCCCCACCTTCCCCCCACCCCCTCAGCATTATCGCAGTTGGTGCTATAGCTTGCAGATTTGCGTTCAAATAGAGACCTGTAAAGATCTGAGAGACCAGCCATATCAATTCCAAACAAAAGTTCTATTTTTTTTTTCTTCTACTTTTTTTTTTTACGTTGAGGCACTGACTCGAACGACGAAGGGGGTCAGCGTTTCCAGAGTCGAGATTCGTGAAAATTCCGCTAAGATTGCGCCCGGAATCCACCCCGTCTCACACGACTCCTGATACTCTTGAAGTCTCCATGCGCCTGACCAAGTTCGGCCGAAGTGGAAATCCAAGTCACGAAGTGAAAAAAAGGTTGCTAATTCTTTTCCTCTAGTCACCCGTTGCAGAATTGCCATCGGCGCTTCATCGGCATGGAAAAACGCAGTTTTTTTTTTTTTTTTTTTACAGAGATCTATGAGTCAAAGAAGCGGATGCAAATTAATTATTTGTCAACGTCATATCGCGATAGTTTGCGAGTCGAATTTCCTTCCGGATGCCGAACGCTTGAGTCACGTAACAGGCCACACTTGTGCAAACTCGAGAGGAGCGCGTTACCGGTCGTTCCCGATAAGCCGCGTTATCGAGGAGTTACCCTTAGTGGAACGCGCACACATCGTTCTTATCTCGTCGTCCCGTCTCCAGTTCTCCCCGCGAAGCGAAGGTCTTTGTGGCAGCGAAGGTCTTAGTGGCATCGACTCGGAAAGGAAGATGAAAGCCCTCGTGCTCCTCGGGACCGTCTGCGCCTTCCTCGTAACGCCCTGTAAGTTCCTCGCTGCATCAAAACCAGTTCAAGAGAAATCCTAAATTTTTTTCCTGACCGCCAACAGTTCCGCATGATTTGTCGCAATCAGAGTTTGCAAAGGAGAAGTACCGCTTTTTCCTCATGTTCGATCTTCCTTTTCCTGCCTCTATACCCAATCCCAGTACTTCTTAGGACCAAGTAAACTCAAGTCGAAAACGAACCAAAATGACTTCCCTTCAATTTTGGACTGATCCTGGGGATTTGAAGGGATCAGGCGGATAAAGGTCCTTGCGGCTGGTGAAAGAGAGCTATGCCTGCAAACGCCTGATCTCTCGGCAACATTTTATACAAAGCGATCTAAAAATTCCTGGCAAACTCGAGCGTTAATTTTTATTTCTTTGTTTCACTGACATGCATTCCGTTATGAATGGCTGAAAATGGTCAATAGGGCTAGTGGTTAATCTTGTGCATCACTTTTGAGAAGAGGATAGGCGTTATTTAGTGCATCTAAGAAGATTAGAATATTAAATCTGAGAAACGCCGCAAGTACGTGGAGAAATGTGGAGAAATTCGAGGAAATTGTTATTACCGAAAACCCACACCACGTGGTGACTCGGGGGTTGAATGCGCCTGAGGTTTTGGTGGGGCATCCAAACGTGTGGCAGGTCCTTTACTTTTCCCATTGGGGAGTCTCGCTTGGGAATTTCGCAATTGCAGGTTGGACCGATTCTTACACGATTGCACGGATGTTGGCACCACACCACCCCCGACTTGCGCAAAATGTTCTTGCCGAAATGTTTCCACGACTGTGGATTGGTCACTGCAGAAAAGTGTGCTATTCTGTGCTGAAAAAGTTTCCAAGAATGCGTCAATTCTGGGTGCAAGAATTTCTAACGCTTGCTAAAATAAAACATATGAACAGAGTGTGGCCTCATGCTGCCTGTCCAAAAATCATATTATTATAATCACCCCACAAAAAAAATCAGCAATCGAGAAACCATGCAATTTCTTTCTAAAATATTCCAGGAATATAATTGTTTTCCAATGGCTTTCTCCCAATGCCAATATTGACTTAGAGAAAACGACGGAATGCAGTTTTTCGACCATTTTTTGCACAAGATGTGGTCCAACTTCCGCAGTTTCCCTTTAAAACCCTTACGAAAATGTCTTATAGGAATCCTATAGGTTCCTATAGGCCCCATAGAGTTCAGTTTGGGACCTATATGGTTCCCTATAGAACCTATAGGGTTCCCTATAGGGCCTATACGGAACGGACTGTAGAGTTCCGTTTGAAGTTTTCCTCTAGGCCACTAGATGGAGATATTGGGTTTTCGCATTTCTCAAAGGACACAAAAGTGCCCTCCCCTTACCCATGGAATCATCTCTCACAAGAGAGTTTTGTATATCCCCAAATGTCTCGCCCTGCCTCATTGTAGCAATCAATAAGCATCGACAGTTCCTTATTTGTCATCCCCATATTCTAGATAGAATCATGGAGTCCAGGCAAGAAATATGCCCATATACCTTTTGAAACGCACGAGAATAAGTACATTAGCGGGAAGATCCCCAGCTAGGGTCCACCCCCAGCCTCTAGCTTGTCCTCACCGTGCTTTTTTTCGTTCAGGTCTATCCCTCACCCCATCTCGCCGGGGCTCTCTGTCCTGGCAGCCAGCGAATTCTCTTTGTTAAGACATTTCCGTCTCTCTTATACTGCGCCTGATTTATTAATTACCTCCTAAGGACCTTTATTTCTAAAGCACTTCACTCCTGCATCTGCACTCTCTCCCCTTTTCTTTCGTACGGCACCATGCCGGCGAAAAAGAGGACCCGGAAGAAGACCTCTCCCCCACCTCCTTCCGTTTACTCCAACCCCTCACCTCGCTCCAGGTGTCAGGCTTCTCCTGCCCCCCCTCCTCCTCGCACACCTCCACCGCCCCCCGCCACCTCGCGAAATTCTTCCCCCCTTCGCCAACCAACTGCCAGCCCCTCGCGCTCCCCTACACATCCATCCCCTCGTACAGCCAATAACGCACCCTATCTTTCACAACAAGAGAGTTTTGTAGATCCCCAAACGTCTCGCCTTGCCTCATTGTAACAATCAATAAACTTCGACACTTCCTTATTTGTCATCCCCATCTTCCAGATAGAGTCATGGAGTCCAGGCAAGAAATATGCCCTTATTCCTTTTGAAAACCACGTACGAGAATGAGTAGGCTATCCAAGTGGAGTTTCAGTAAGGCGACGTGCTCGCAGGTTCTGTCTTGCTATTTTCTAGGTCGAGAGAAGAGTACTACTTCTCTCTGCCGAAGGAAGTAGACGTGCAATCCAGCAACACATGTGGGTTGGGGCCATAAATTATTCAGACCCGTACTGGTATTAATAATGCAAATGTCACTACCATGTAAAACCCTCAATCGGTATTTGATTTACACCAATATGCTGCGCCAATATTAACCCCGGTTGCCTTTTCCATCGTAATGCCTGGGTTTCGAAACCCAAAAAATCCTCCCCGAATCCAATAGGATCCAATAGAATTTTCGTGTTTCAAAAACCTATAGGAAAGTCTATAGGTTTCCTATTAGAAATAACTATAGGTTTCCTGTAGGACATTTCCGTAAGGGAAGGTCCTCAGGAAGCAGTCGGTTCCCCAAGGTTGGCCGTTCCAGAAAGCGATTGATCAAGGTTTCGAGATTTGCAATGCTGAATTTCCACAACGTGCAAAATTTCGTGTTCCTTTCAGGAAGGGGAGCCGAAGAAAAACATACTGGTTGGTACTTGCTCCGTTTAATATTTGGTTCCATTCGCAGCATGGGGTCTGAGATGCCATTCCTGCGCTGAGGCGGACTGCCAGATGGAAGTGAGCGAACAGATGCAAGAAAATTGCGATAACCTCATAATCATCCCTGGCAAGGAATTCTATTGCGGCACCGGCTTCTCTGACGATTCCAGAGGTCAGGTCCCCTTCGGAAAAGCTACATTAGCAGTAATGCTGCATTAAGCAAGCTGCACCAAGCCCAAGCCGTATTTATTGTTTCGTGCTTTGCTAATGAGAGCCGCTCGATTTAGACTTTGGAAAGTGCAAATTCGAAGTCCCGTTTTGGTTTTGCAGAGAAAGTCGTGAGGAGGATGTGCATTCAACACGAACCCGACAACGCAAATAACTGCTTCTCGAGCTCTCTCATCCCAGGCGCAGAATTTTCATGTCTCTGCTCCGGGGATTTCTGCAACGATCACGTGAGCCACCGAGTCACTGGGGTCTCTTCCACCTCGAAGGCGGTCGTCGCCCTCCTCGCCTCCAATGTCTTCGCTGCGTTCGTCGCGGTTTGATGTCCCTCCGTTCGTCGCTTTTCCGGTTTGCGGGGTTGATGAAAGCGAATTCTGTGAACGTGGGTTTCCTCGACAGTAAAATTGTCTTGTTTCTATATTTATTTATTTTTTTAAATCAAGAAAATGATGATCTCCATTGAAACGACGAGATAAGTTTTCTCGAAGAGTTTCTTGATATATTTCAGGGTCGATGAGTCGAAAACGCGGATGCAAATTAGATAAATTGCGAACGTCATACCATGACAATTTCGGTCATATTTCCTATTCTGCTTTTGAGTCACATTACAGTTCATACGTGTGCAAATCTCATAGTGGTACGTTACCGGTCGTTGCTTAGAATATCTGGGAGTTACCCCTAGTAGAAATATTCCAGATAACGCGCCCCCCATAAACCTGCACGCACAGTCTCGCTCTTATCTTAAACAGCGTCCCCACTCGCCCTCCCGTGAGAAGAAAGCCTGTGTGGCATCGACTCGGGAAAGGAAGTCGAAAGCCCTCGTGCTCCTCGGGACAGGCTGAGCCTTCCTCGTAACGTTCTGTAAGCTCCCCGTTGCATTCGATTGAAAGGAGGTTTGCTCACGAGACATTCTCAAAATGATTTTTTTTTCCAGACCGCTTACAGTTAAGCGTTTTTTTTTCGCAATTAGAGACCGTCAAGGAGAAGAGATGTGATGAGGCAAGAACCGCTTTTTGGTCCCTCTATATCCCTAGCAGCATATAACATTGAATCAACATTGATTCAACGTTGGTTCAACGTCCGGATGTTAACTCAACATTGAATCAATGTTGTTTCAATGTTATATGCCACTAGGTATCCTCCCGGTGCAGTGGAACCCCAGAAATGGTAGGAAACGAGTGAACCCAAATATACAGCATGAGTCAAAAGTCAGTGAACGCATTAATTGCATTAATTTCCCTATCCACCTGTCTTCAAAGCAAAACGACGCTTCACTCCGAAAAGATTTCCTTCAGGGATAAATTTACAAGGGCGAAACATTCCTCAAAAGAAAGTTCATCAGCATTTTCAGAAAACAATTTGGAGCAGCAAAAATTAGCAGAAAATAATCGCAAGCTGTTCTGCCCTCAATATCACTTTTATGTTGAAAAATGTTGCTTTTCTTTGTGTACAGGCGCATCCCATATTTTATTGGCATTTCATGCAAATTCCCATGTCGTTCCGTCAATTAATACGCGCTCTTTCATATGCAAAAGAAGAGTTTGCAAATTAATGACTTCCTTGCTGAGTTACAGCTGTTCAAAGTCGTCCAGTGACTTTTGACCCAGCCTGTAAAAAAAGACATCCCTGGAATCTTGGACAGATCCTGGGGATTTGAAGGGACCAAGCGGGCCTGGCAGCTGATGGAGGATCGACAACTGCAGTCGAGCGTCTGCTTTGTACAGGGTGGCACGAAAAAGTTAATCGAAATGTCTGAAAAGACACAACTTGGTTTGTTTAAGTCTTTCCATGTTTCATAAGTCATTTATGGAACTTTTCATACGTAGGACCATTGTTTTTAATCTTTTTAGGACTCTAAATTTAGGACTTTAAACCGATTCACGGACATATGGCATGTCCAACAAGTCCACAGACACGCTCTAAACCAAGCGCCTTCCTATGGATCCATATCTTCGAAAATATGAAAATGACTTGAGACGTCCAGCGAGATTCCCAAATGTCCATCCATAGAGTTTGAATGTGTCCTGCCAGAATGCCCTTTTTTTTGCATTGACATGTCTCGAGAGGACGTTTTTGCCACCCGGGGGAAACGGTGAACACTGCAGCATGGATTGGTTCACCGTTTTCCACCTTGGTAACTTCTCGAATTATGTTCGCCAAGCCGAGTCCTTTCTTTCACTTTATTTTCGTATTTATTTTAGATTTCCAGTAGCAAACGAAATAAGTACGATATTACTTTTATGTTATCTTTATTCTGGTTTATCCCATAGAAGCTCATGAAATATTCATAAATCCTTTTCGGAGCCCTAAGATCAATCCTTCGGCCCACAATGCAACTCTGTCTCTTTTATAATGAAGCGCTCAGAGAAAAATATATCTGTTGACAGATATGCCCGCCAACATTTTTGTTCGAAACGAGGCATGTCTGACCACCCAACAACCTTTACGTATTGAGTTTTCCAAAGAAAAAAAATTGCCCAATCAATCCCCACGGGAGAGTCACCACTTTCTCTAGCCGTCCTCCTCCGAAAAGTTTTCATTTTTTATGATTTGGAATAAAGAGCATCTCTATTTGGACCTTGGAATGCGCAATTCAACATCCAGCACCCCCGTTTTGGTTTCGCAGAGATCATAAAAAGACATTCGACGTGAACCCGAAAGCGCGGGAAACTGCTTCTCAAGCTATCTCATCCCATTTCTCTGCAACGTGAGCCACCGAGTCACTGGGGTCTCTTCCACCTCGAAGGCGGTCGTCGCCCTCCTCGCCTCCAGTGTCTTCGCTGCGTTCGTCGCGGTTTGATGTCCCTTCGTTCGTCGCTTTCCGGTTTGCGGGGTCGATGAAAGCGAATTCTGTGAATTCGGATTTTCTCAGTCAATTCAATGAAAATAATTTATATGTGCATTTTTTCCTCGATGTTTTCTCTCTTCTGAAACGACGAGAAGAATCTACTCGAAACGTTCCTTGGTACATGTCATTTTCGACGAATTGCGAAATACACCTAGTGGGAAGGGCTATGCCACGATTTTTTTTCTCTGAGATCAGAGAAATTTTCGTTGAATTTATTTCGAGAAATGTCAAGCAAGTCTACCCAGATACGTTACGCAGTGCACAACATATGCATTAATCATTTTCAGGGACCCATTCCACAGAAGATTTACAAGCTACAAGTTACAAGTCTATTACTAGCAGAAGCAAGTTTCAATTCCACAAAAGAAATTTGTACAATAAAGATTTACTAGTACAAGTTCATCCATTTACAAGCGAATTGAGTTTGGGAAAATGGATTCTGTTCCACAGAGCCAGATATTTTACAAGTCTATAGACTTGTATTGATACTTGTTGCTCTAAATTTTAGAAGACTTTCATGCTAGGTAAATGTATTTTCTGCACTCCTGTGTCTAGGAGAAACTATGCATTTTCCTGTTGTGACCATTCCATAGGATAAACTGGACTTAGTTTTAATGTGGTACAATACGGTAGAGTTAGGATTATGTGCTCACGTTACAAAAACTTGAAATAATAAAATCCAGAGCTGCAGGAAATGAAATACTTGACTCCAAGTATTGCCAGCTAAAGCAGGATCACAGCAACTTTTCTTGGCGCCGTCTTTCACAGAATTAACCTGGAATATAAGTGTGGACTCAGGTGCACTATCAATGGACAGCTTCCCCACTGAGTTTGGCATATTCGATTCTATCTGGAATACATAGACTCTGACTTTCAGGCCAAGAGATAGCATATTCGATTATGCATATCCAGCTCCTCGTTATATGAGATATCCACACGCTTTCATCGATGAAACCTATTTTGGTGTCATTCCACGAGTGCTACTCGATAGAGAACTATGGAATGCACTTAGAACTTGTAACATGTGCAGGCTCCAGTGCCTTGTACTTTTCGATCTGCAAGCTCTAGCGCAAACTGTGAAACAGAAAATACAAATACTTGCAAATACAGCCTTGCAACTTGTAACTTGCAGCTTGTAAACTTCCCCAACGTGCCAGGAAGCGTCCGAAGCGTCAGAATGTTACCTGTGCATTTTACTGTCGGTAGCTTCCAGCTGGAAGCTGGATGCAAATCCATTTCGAAAATAGTTTAAATGATCGCAATTTCCGAACTGCTGTTGAAAGGTTAAGCAAGCCTTCATGCAGGCTCCAGCATGATTTAAAAAAAAATTAAGCTTGTTTCGCCAGTGCCAACTACACTATTACATATTGGTTAAATTAATCCGAAACATTCTAAACTTTCATCGTTGACCAAACCAACATGACATTCTTTGCTTCTTTTCATTCAGGAAATAAGAGATG